GATGGAGGCAAACTTGTCATTGGTATCGGCCCACGAGTCGTCCGATGGTCACTGGCCACTTCCATCCTCACCGACGGGCCAAGACCTGTCCCCATGCCGGGCCTACAGCCCCTCTGACGAACATGAGGTGTACGAGTTCGGGCAAATTGAGTCATGAAGAGTGAAACACAATAAAGCGTGAAATGTGACAATCGACATTTTGGTAGGAAGCACGAATCAGTTGAACAAATTGTCTTCCGCAACCAAGTAAATAGCGCTGCAAAATATCCCAATTTGTACGGTCGATAAAGCGTGGAGATGTGGTTACTAATAAATGGACTGTCGCATAGTTACCACTCAGTCCAGTGGACGTGCTTGAATAGGTTCTGGCAGCATTTCACCAGACTCTTCATTATGTCGCATGCATGAGGCGACATGTTCATCGAGGTCAGCCTTACTTTGAGGCAGTTGTGCTTGAGTGTTGTTGTGCCGTCCTTCGGTTTCACGATCGTCCATCAACTCGCTTTTCTTCGACCCGACTCTTTTACGGAGAGCTTACGATTCGCGTGTTGAGTCACAAAATCCAGTTGGATTCGGAAGATGTTGTTCTGAGATGGAAAAGAGAGGAGAAATCAAACCGTACGCCACCACATCGTTTGGACGACACGAATAACCCGAGAGATGTTGCCGATGCAAACCAATTGCCGACGTCTTGAATGACTGTTTCATGGTTTCCAGTAGACATATCATCGTTGAGCTCACTTTCAACCCTCCTGATCAACAACCGTGGATAACTTTACGCTTTATTCGAATTACTCGATAACATTACCGGCACTCGGACATACACACGCATCTGCATGCACACACATACACATTCATACATGCACACATACATACAAATATTCATACATTTTTGGCGAGGCTCTTGATCTCACCAGAAGACGACTGCCTCAGTACTACTGGACTCAGCAGTCCTCTTCACGATGAGCTCGAATTTCCAAGCTCTTCGTCATGCCCTTTTGTACGAAAATAAAGTTTCCACAACCTTTTTATGTTGTGAGATCCATCGAAACCCGGTTTTTCTGCATATATACACACACACAAATACCCATAGAGGTATGCATGCATAAAGATGTACAGACAAAAAGGAAAATAGACAGACGGACTCACAGATGGAAGGACAGACAGTCAGACATGCATGCATAGAAATAGACTTCGAGATTTGATATGACGGATATGTATTAATTGTTTCGTCGTTCGTATCTTTCAGGACCGGGATCGTGTAAGAGGATGAGCATGCCCTGACAACCATTGGCTCATGTGTTTCAATCAAAGTGGGCCAAGCTCATACAGAATTCACTGCAGCTCTGCTCGAAATCGACTTCACTCAGTTTTATTGTCGAGCACTTTGTGTAGCAAAAGTTAAAATAATTGAAGATATGAAGACCAAGATGTTGTGGCGTCCGGTATAGTCGCAGTCTCTTTTCGATTTATAGAAATGGGTTGTCGCAACTTGGTCTTGTTGTCAAGGCGACTTAGTACCACACACCTAGTCCGAAGTCGTCTGTCATAGTAGTTGTCATAATTCCCAACATCAGACAGTGGAATTGGTACTAATAATTCGCCCTGACAACAAGACCAAGTTGCGACAATGAGGTCAACCCATTTCTAAAAGTTAAAATAGCTGCGGCTTCAGGAGTGCTTTGAACCGCCTAGTCCGATGTAGGACAGACGCGGCATGAGAGACTTCAATCCGCCACTACACCCAAACGTTTATGTCAAGCCGACTGGTAGCTCTTATCTCCTCAGCCCGGCCGAGCATGAATCCCATCAAAAGCCAGACTATCACGAGCCAAAAGAGTGAGAACAGTTTGGCACAGTCACTTTTGTCCGGCTAATATATTCGACTCTGCGCTAATCTGCTCAAGATTAACATATTGGCAGCTAACGAGAATGAAGTCACGAGCTCTTTTGCGTGGGATTTTCTCTTAACAAAATAGTTTTGAAAT